TGACAATTAAAACTGTCTTCAGTCTTTGCCATGTGAGTCCAGTGTGGTGGTGGCAAGGGGGGGATTGTCTCAGATTTGGAACTACTAAACACAAGTTGAAGAACGTGCTTTGTCATCCTCATCCCGGGGCCTAGGGCTCCTCAACAGTACCCTCCTGATTGTTGTCCATCATCATGGCAGACAAAGGACGTGATATTCACACTGACTAAGAGTCTCATGCTCCCTCCCAACCCTCAGAGGGTTGGGACCAGAAAGTCTAGGCCTGCAGTATACATGGAAGAAAAATTCAAACTTTTACTTTAACTGGTTCTTCCTTAGTTATTTATTTGCCTGCATTTGGGACTTCTGACTTCATAGTCACATCCTTTCTTGTAGTTTCATATCTTTTAGTCTTAATTCCTCAACTATATTTTATGAACTACCAGTTTGGCCTACAAATTTTTTCTTTTTTCTTTGTTTTTTTTTTTTTTAAGATTTATCTGTTTTTATTGGGAAGGCAGATATACAGAGAAGAGGTGAGACAGAGAGAAAGATTTTTTGTCCATTGAGTCACTCCCCAGCTGGCTGCAATGCCTGGAGCTGTGCCAGTCTGAAACCAGGAACCAAGAACTTCTTCCTGGCCTTCCTGGGACCCTGGTTACAGGATCCCAAGGCTTTGGGCCAGCCTTACTGCTTTCCCAGGCAGCTAGATGGGGGGCGAGGCTGCTGGGATTAGAACTGGCACCCATTTGGGATCCTGGCACGTGCAAGGCAAGGATTCTAGCTGCCAGGCTACCGTGCTGCACCCCCCTACAGATTTTTCTAATTATTCAACTTGTATGTTTACTATTTTTAGTTAGCAAGATTTGTAATACCAGACATGCTGTTCTTGAATTATTTCTTCCTCTTAGCAGCCTGAGGTATTTATGAATATGTTTATGTACATATTTTTAAATTTAGTATTGTAATTGATTAGCTAATGGAAAAGGTGCTCATTTATTGATGAGATTCTCCCTTTTACATCGTTGGGGTGTTTTTTCCCTTGAAATGTGCAGCCCAGCCATCTCTGGGTGTTGAACAGTGCATATCCAGGCTGAGTAGAGGGACCAGGGCAGAGATTTCATCAGCATTTATGCAGACAGTCCAGTGAATCCTCCATTAGCAACTTCCTTTCACTCAATCCCCTTTTGGCCTGTGGCTTTTGTCTTTACGCTTGGAAAATAGCTGAAATGTACTTCTGCACATTCAGGGAGGAATATAAAGGAAGAGACAATACAGAGAAGATGAAAAAAATGAGTATTCTTGACTAGTTTTAACTTCAATTCAACAATGTTCAGTTACACTTAACTCACCATAACTATGTCACAGAATGACTGGCAATATATATTCAGGCGAGATAATGTCGGTGAGGAAAAACAAACAGTTGAGCAAGCAGTAGTGATTATCTCTTCTTTGAACGGGACTGTCATTCAGAGGTTCATGTTCTCCTGTTACTGGGGGATTGTATTTCTTTAAATGTGTATGTCCTAACCCCTAATACCTCAGAATGTATGCATCATCAGAGATATTATGTATTAGTTTATATTAAGAAGTAAAGAAAGTAAAATGAAGTCATAAAGACAGGTCTTCATCCAGTAGGACTAGTGTGCTGATAAGTCTATGTTGTTTAAGCCATCCAGTGTGTGGTACCTTGACAGTCCTGGTAAACTAAATGGTAAACTAAATGCATAGTCAGGATCAAGACTTTTTCTCAGATTAAACTTAATATTAAATATTTAGCCATTATCCCATAATGCCATAATGCCTTGGTCCAAAAGAATCCTTTATAGACCAGTATCCTTATATGCCCCTATTCAAGTTAGTGTGATGAGGATTAGAATGCAGTAAAAATTACAGCTGAAGCTCATCTGTTCGCCCTATGTTTAGTAACTCTTGTGACAGTACATTGTGTGACTATAAAGGTGAATCATACATAGCTCCCAAGCAATTGTGTTAATGCAAATTATCATTAACAAATGTTATATCCTAGCAGCCAGTGGTGATGATGTACTACACACTGTTCCTAAATGAACTCATTTGCCATTTGCTATTGAGTGTTCACCCAGGCCATATTTAGAGTAATTCTTAAATCTAGAAGCTATTCCCACCCACTGTTTCCTAGAAATACAGCTCAAAACAAATGTCTTTCATCACAAGCTCAAGAAAACAATGGGGAGCATCTGATGAATGGAGAACATGTTGTTACTCTCGCCTTTCATTACAAATTAAAGAGGGGGAGCACTTTAAATCGTTTCAGTTTTATAAACTGTAAAACACATGGAGAATCAAAACATCCCATTGCTAAAGTGATATCTGAGTTTCACTATCAACCCTGTTACTCATTGTAATTTGTATTGCTCATTGTTTAGCTTAAGCGCCTAGAAGATGTTTGAATCCTTTTAGAATTATTTTGTTCATGTTTGAAAGCCCTTGAACCAAATTAGACTGAAGAGTTGTTATTAATGGATTAAGTGCTAATTAGACTCTAAATTCCATCTGCTTTTAATTTAGGTCAAAATATTCCAAGCTCCAAAGCTGTTCGTTGATAATTTTTACTAATTTTTTTTAGGCAAGGTGCTGTTAATGTTCCTTTTGCCTAAATTCTTACCCCTACCCTTAAGTGTGAAGTTTTGCTTGTTGTTTGGGCCTCATATGAAGTCACCAAATGACATATTGGCTGAAGAATGTTGTGTCATTCTGTTAGGGGCTGTGAGTGGTAGGAGTGTATTACTTTCACTGTGTTCAATATGAGGGGGACTCTACTGGTACCATTCAGGTAACAGTCAGATCTTAAATAGATATGTTAGCCTGGAGTTTCCAGGTGGACACATTGTAAATCATAGAATCAGACAGGAAAGAAATAGGCAGAGGGGTTTCTAACGTGAGACATCAACCAGGCACCTGTTAGCTTGAAGGTGTTTTGTGTGTGTGGAGCCAGGTGGAAGCATGCTAATGAAATGGGTGTTTCCCATTCTCTGAATTCTCCTAGAAATGGATTTTGTCACAGAGTGACAAAATGGATTTTGTCTTTAGAAAGGCACACCTCCCTACCCACTTCAGGATGCCAGCTTTGTGATACTCTGATCAGAGAATCCATCCACAGTGGGCTGGGCTTCTGACTCACAAAGCTGTATCCCAGAGGCTTAGAGAATGCATCCTGTTTACTAAGTTTGTGCAATGTGTTATTGTCCACCTGCAATCCCTGCTCTGTGGAATGGTCAGTGCCCATGTTAAAGGCCCATCTTGTGAATTTGGGGGAGTTACACGAGTGTCTATATAGAAAACACCTAGAACAATGTCTGCCACACTGTGAGCCCTCTGATAGTGAGGTGGCTGGTGAGGAGACTATTTGCTTCATGCTAGTTTTAATAGCTTTGCTTTTTCTTATACCCCATTCTTATCTTACCCTTTATTTTTTCATGCAATTTTATTGATTCTCATCTTGTTCTATATCCTTTTTGTACCTTTCTGCTTCTTGCTCCCCAGTTTTTTTGAGTTGCATTGTTGAGGATGTCAAAATGTAACACCTCATTGCGGATTCTTCTTTAGATAGTCATTTTCAGAAGTATAGTTTCCAGGTTATATGTATGCTTATTTTTGTTTATGAGACCTTCCCCATAAGCTTATATGCCATTTATTTACTTATTATCCTCAAAGAAGATAACAATTCTGAAGAAGTCTCTTAGATGAAGATCAAAATTAGTAGTTACTTGAAATTAATAGGGAAATTCATAAAGTTTGTATTTTAATGACTTTGTATTGAATTGCATAAATATACTCAATACACTAATCTTTAGTTCAGACTCAAGGGTCTTTCTGAATTGATCAACTTGAATAATTATATTTGTCTTGTAGCAACCTTACCACTTTTAGAGTTCTCTAGTTTTACTTGTTTGATGTAAAATGGGAGCTTACACATGCTCATGGAGCAAACAGTGTAAAATCTGTTTTACTCTTTTTATATCACAGTGGTCACACATTTTGACAGTTCTTTCAGTAAGTGTTCAAAGTGTGGAGCTTACTATGAAACAGCTCCAGCTGTGTGTTCCTGTTTTATTGATGTGTATCATGGTTTGCAGTTTGGAGAAAACCATACTGAATCCTGTAAGGATCGATTCGACAACTGACTAAAATGAGTGGAGGGTAGCAAAGGGTGACGCAACAGTCATGGATGATCCATCTTTGGGGCATCAGACAGCGTGGTTTCTGGAAGGAAAGGAAGCATCAGGGAATGTACAGAGTCCATTTGATGAAGTCAGTTGAGGGAGCATCCCACATGGCATAAGTTCTCAGATTCAGTGTGTGTCATCATTACAGTCATGTGGCTTGGTAAAACAGATTGCTGGGCTACAGCCTCCATCTAATCCCATGAAATTGGGATAGGGCTGAACAGTTCTCTGGCCTTTTGAATAAGCCTCCAGATTCTGCTAATTCTACTGGTTCCAGACATGTACTTGGCAAACCATGGAGCCACCACCAGTGTGGGTGGGGTGCATGGGACAGTCACCTTTCAATATCAGCATACATAGGGTAGAAAAAATGTTATTTCTCATTTTCTCTCTTCCACCATATAGTAGATATTCCTGCCATGGTTAGACATTAGGACTTCCATTACCCTAAATTCTTGATAATATGTTACGATTTTAAGTGGTATGTGTGTATACATCTACCTCGGAACTTTATGTGAAAGTCAGGGGAGTGTGTAGTACAGGCTTTTAACAGTGTCATCTTCTTTGCTTTCTAGGAAACTACTTCACTCTTTCAACCTTGCTTGGCATGCCATTTTAAAAGTCACACAACCCTGATCTCTTAAAAAGAAAAAAAAAAAGAAGTCCAAAACTTTCCTGTATGTTAAAACATGTTTGACAATAGCGGACCAGCTGCAGAGTAGAGAGACAGCAGTGTGATGTGTCGTCAGCAAGCTGAGGATTTCATCTGTGAAAGAGACCGATTACCTGATTGCTCTGTAATCTCCCTTTCAGAACTGGCTGACGGAGCTGGAAATCTTTGCTATCATCTTCTCAGCTGCCATCCATGACTATGAGCATACCGGAACCACCAATAATTTCCACATCCAGACTCGGTGAGGATGTTGACACTTTGAGGGAAGAGGCACGAGGGGTTAGGGCCAGGATGTCGGGAATGAGAAAGGTGTTAGTCACGTGCCTTAGGCATGCTTACTCTGATTTTCTGAGCATGAATTTGTAAATGAGTGATCTGCCTGGTCAGTGTCCATCAAGACTGACTTTAGGAAGCCATGTGCTCCTAAAAGTCCTCTTGGGATCTTACACGGATGTCCTCTCCTCCAAGGCAACACTGGCTGTTAATTTAGGTCCTGGGACTGCTTTACCTGTTTCTAGTGGACAGTGGGGCTGTTTACATAAAATCTTAGTGGAATGTAATCTGAGTCATAATAATTAATGAATAGTAGTGAGACCTTCTTACTCCATCCTTGGCTTCTGCTGTGACGCTGTTATCATCCTTGGATTTCATCTTGAGCTCTGTTCAGCGCTTGCATCCTTTCTAGCACTGGACTTGAGGAACCACAATATTCTCCCCAAGGCTCCTTTCACCACGTGTACCACATATATCCATTTTAATGAACAGCTCTGATAAACACAAACCTCTCTGGGGCACAGCTTCACGTGCCCCAATATGACCGTCCTGTGCTGTCACAGAGCTCGTGCATTGATCTACAGGTTTTTTCCTTACCAAGCCATGAATTTGTCTTTAGTATTCCTCTCAGCACAGAATTCCAAACAGTCCTTCTACATTATCATTTTTACTTAGAGTAAAACCTTACCTTCACTAAGAATTAGAGAGAGTCTGGCAGTAAGGTTAATTGGGTGCTGATACAGGAATCAAAAGAAGGTAAGAATTGGGGGAAAAGTGGTAAGGCAAATAGAAAGTAGCGGGGAGGAGTAGGAGTTGAGGTCCCAGCAAATACTCACTGATTGCACTTGAAAGAGCAGGTGCAGCCTCCTGATAGGTTTATGTTCCTTAATTCTGTCTACATGCATTTAATGAATTCAACACTTAATTATGGAGTACACCAAAGAAAACAATGTAGTCTGATCTCTATTCAAAAGAGGAATTTCAATGGAACAGAAATACACAAAAGGACTTAAGCTTTTTGCCTTTATCCCTGCCTTCTTACAGAGAGTATTCTCTGCCACTGGGGAATAGTTCTTTGTGGTTTTGGTGCAAGGTTTTTAAATATAGGAAATTCCAGGGTACCTGTTTAATGTGGGTCTGTGGAAAAGACCTTTGCTTTGAGGATGAAGACTACCATGAAGAGCACCTGATCAAGAAAAATAGGTGGGAAGAGTTGAGTATAACCAGTACTAACAGCAGCCATAATCTGGAGCAGCACAGCCCACTTACAGGAGATGCAAAGTTAGCTGAGTGCCACAAAACACTCATCACTGGGTACCTGACTTAATCAGCAGGTGTAAGACCAAATCCTTTTCTTTCAGATGGCATGGTGTGTGTTATTTGAGAGGAGTTGGAAAATTCCAGTGGATTCAGTTCATCTCAGTTTGGAATAGAAATTAAACATTAGATAAAGTTCAGTTGAAAAAGGACAAACTATCTTGGACCCTATGATCCCTATTCAGAAATCTAAGTTTGTGACCACGTTTTTTTCCCCCTGATGGACTACAGGAAGAGCCTAACACTTTGAAGATATTCTGAGATACCCTTGCCCTAAAGTTTGACCAGTCACAGAAGGATATTATTTTCGGGAGTACTGTGTCAACTTTCAGAAGACTTTTCTCCCTTTCCCAGCCCCTCAGACAGCCACCGTGGGCTCCAAATGAGTCACTTTACATCTCTCAGATTCTGCTTCCTTAATGAGAAACAGATAAACTTTTTTTAGAGATATTAAAATACTTATTTGCCATGATTGAGTTGCCATTATTGGCAACTTTTACTTTCTCAATCTATATATTGCTTTTTAAATATCCATTTGTTTATTTGAAAGATACGGGCATAGAAAGATCATGCACCTGCTGCTTCACTCCCCAAATGCCTGCAAAAGCCGGGGCTATACCACGAGCCAAGAGCTCCATCTGGGTCTCCTACACTGGGGACAGGGACAGAAGTATGTGGTCCTTCAGCCACTGCATCCCAGGATACCTTAGTAGAAGATGGATCAGAAGCAAAGTAGCTGAGACTACAATTGGCAGTCTGATTTGAGATGCAAGTGTCTTAGCCCATGGTGTCACAATGCTGACCCCAATATTTATGTTATTGACCTTCAATTTTGCATAGAAAAGTTTGAAGAGGAAGTTACTACTAGAAACAGCTTATGGACAGCACCTATCAGGTATATTCAGAGAGATGCAGCCAAAATAAATCAATACATTCACTGAATGAAAGTAAAAATGTCTTTCCAAAATGCATCAAAAAGTTTGCGGTGATCTATTTTTTTTAAGTGTCTTTTGTTACTCTAGCATAAATCATTGAGACCTGGATATAAGCCAGTTTTGAGAAATTTCAGACTCAATGACACATAAATTTCATTCCCATATATTGGTAGCAACCTGCCTTCCACACATCTGAGGATAAGTTATGATATTCATTCAAGCTTTGGGTTGAAATCAGTGACTTCAAGGCAAACGTAATTTTCAACCTAGAGCAAAGCGATGAAAAGTGAATCCTAGCCTGTAAGCACTGAGGAAGTTGAACAGTCGAGATTTCTCCAATTAATTTCCCTTGGGTTTGTTCTCAGGTCTGACCCAGCCATCCTCTACAATGACAGATCGGTGCTGGAGAATCACCATTTGAGTGCAGCCTACCGCCTTCTGCAGGAAGATGAGGAGATGAATATTTTGATCAACCTCTCCAAGGATGACTGGAGGTAAGGGTGAGAGGAGAGATTTGGAGGCCAGGAAGAAGGGAAGGCACATGAAGTGCCTATCTAAAAGTCTGATTTCTTCTCTCCCTCTATCCTGCCCCAACTCTCTCTCTCTCTCTCTCTCTCTGAGGGGGTGAAGGAAGAGAGAGAGAGAGAGAGAGAGAGAGAGAGAGAGAGAGTGTGTATCTGTGTGTGTGTGTCTTTGTGTGTCTGTGTGTGTGTGCTCTCCTCTTCCTGCTGTTTGTCTCACTACTGTTTTTCTTGATGTGAATATTCAGAAGTTGTCAATAAGGGTTATAAAATATTAAGATTAGGTTCCAACTATCTCTTTTGGCCATCTTTACATTTCTTTGGCGGTAATGAACAGACTAATAGATCCAATTTAGGTTAAGTAATTCAGAATTGTGCTAAAAATTCTCAAGGAAGTTTGAAAAACTAGCCATATACAATTTAGGGCTCATTAGAAATACTTGGTGTTGATTATCTTAATTAACTTATGTTGCTATTAGCTGACCTTCTTAAGTCTGAAAGTTAACTTATTTTCTTCCAATATTAATTTGGATTTCAAGAAGATTTTGAAAAATTCTGAAGAAATTATTTTGATGATTAAAAAATGGGCACTTAATTCTATTCCCTAAATGGGAATATATCTTTATAGATATAGCAACCCCGTGATTTGAATACAAAACCAGACACTTACTGGTTATATGACTGGGGAGTTTAACTCGATCTCTCATAACTTCAAGGTTTCATCTCAGGAAAATAGTATTTACCTTGCTGCTATGTGGTTAAGAATCTGACATGTAATATTGGCTATTATAAAGGCTCACTACATGTTTGGGTTATACATAGTAAGCTTGTGAATCATTGTTGTAAGTAAAAGTCAAGGTATTTGACAGCTTATTGGACAAAGTCAGAGAAGTCTTTACAAAATCCCAAATCTATTACTCAATTAGTACTTGTGTTCTACCTAAGTCAGCAACTTCTTATCCATTTCACAAGGATTCAGAGAAATAAGCCACACTCAACAGTAAAACTTAGGAACTGACTTTCAGTGAGAGTGGCTGAGTTTCCAGGCATCTTTAGCTTGTCCAAACATGGGGGAATATTTGGCTTACATTAGATTGGGAATTACCAGACCCAGCTGGATCGGAACATGGCAGAGCACTTCAGTTAATCAGTGCACATCCTCAGGAAGAACGGACTCCTCTGTTGACTTGTTTTCAAAAGCAAAGTGAAAGGGTTGGATATGGCCAAAAAGAACTGCTTCACACCTGTTCGGATACACCCATGGTTGGGAAGGATTTGCATAAAGGCTCTCTAAATAGCAAATATTCTTGGCCTGGTTAAAATCTGTAATGTGCAGCACAGCTTTCAGAGCTATGTCCTGCTGTATTTTTATAGCATAAATGTCACTTCTGTTATGTATATTTCAATGTGGATTTGTTATCCCTCTTTATAATTTTTAAAGGTATAATTTCATTTTAACTTATTGATTTGAGATAGAGATGTAAACACCTTCCATTTTGCTAGTTCACTTCCCCACACCCCAAGTCTGTAAGTGCCAGGGGCTAAGGCTTGCAAGCTGGGAGCGTAATCCAGGGCTCCCAAATTGGTGGTGAGAATTCACACCTTGAATTAGTATTGCCAGCTGTCAGAGTTTATAGTGGTAGAAGCTGGGTATCGACCCCAGGCACTCCAATATTGGGATGTTAATGTCTTACCCAATATTCTACTGCTTGACTCTTCACCTCCCCTGGTTATTTGTTAGTGTTCTTAGGAATTCAGCTATACTATGTGTATTTTCATTCTATTGCAGTCTAGCTTCACTCACTATTTCAGACTCCGAATGGAAAGTGAGTCTGGCATAGACCATAGTTAAACCTGTGGGGACACGCTGCCACACAGTAATGCAAGCAGCTTTTCTGTTTATCTCCAGCTCTGTTCTTACCAGTGGCTCCTCATGAACTCTCAGTTGTAATTTGAATATCACCTCTAATCAAGGCAAGTTACCAGATTGAGTGATTCAGCAAACACGTGAATATAAAAAAAGTTTTAAAATGATCAAACAACACTTGAAAACGTAATTTTATGAGACCTACTTACATGTATTTTATTAGCAAATACTGAACGAAATATTAATCTGAGTGAAATTATGATTCAATGGCAAATTCTTAATTTTTGTGGCCCATTGCACATGTTTTCTGCTTTTGAATTCTGTAGTTTAAACAAAAATTGTAGTGAATAACAATTAAGATTTACTTAATATTTTAATATCTTAAAAACTATCTTCAAATTTCAGATACAGGGCCTCAGATAATATTAAGAAATAATATAAATACCTTTATTTGTTACAAGGTTCTCAAATAAACTCCATTAAATTAACCCAAGATATTAGTAAAATCTCTCTAAAAAGGTACTTTAAAAATCTCGTAGGTTGTATTTGGATTTTTAAGTTTTTTAGGCTGTTTATGAAATTTGTAAACAAGCCAATTGTTACCATGTGTTTATTACCTGAAGTATATGAAATGATAAGCAAAATGCTTTTTTTTAAATGAATTAGGATAAAAAGCATCAGGTAGATTTAGAAGGGATATCAAAATTTGAAGAATGTGTGACAGGATAGGGCCGATTTGGTACCCAAGTCTTTGGATGATTTTTTTTAAGATTTTATATTTTACTATCATTATTATTAAAAATGAAATTGATAAGAGATCTTTCATCCACTGGGTTCATTCATGAAATGGCCTCAGCAGCCAGGCTGGGCCAGAGGGAGTAGAGAGCTGGACACACTAGCAGAGAGCTAAATGGGAAATAGAGCAGCTGGGTATTGAACTGGAGTCCATATGCAATGTTAATGGCACAGTGGCAGTTTAACTCACTGTACTGAAATGCTGGCAGCATACACACACAGCGAAGATAGAAAGTAGGCTGAGTAGAGAGCTGATGTGTTGCTCACTGAAGTTGCACACAGCTTGCATTTTGAATCTGAACCAGTTAACTACCAGTGAAAAGAAAATATCCACCTTCAGAGCAAGAGTAACAATCGCCAGTGTTCACAACTTACAACTTTCACAATACAACCTAATTGACATCCCAAGACCAGGCATGCATGACTGCCTTGCATGGAAAAACGTAAAATACATTCATTCAACAAACTAAAACCATTGTTGGATTTGTCAGATACTTTTAGAGTAGTTAGTCTGTTCAATGAAGTGAAGGAACATGTGTTTATAATGAATATAGTAAAAATTATGAATGTATACTGAGGGTCTAAATTAAAATTTTCAAAGTGAAAATTTTAATATACAAGTTCATTTTCCACTTTATGGGCTTTAATAATATGGAGAAGAGAGAGGAAAGAATGAATTTTGGAAGTTTACTTTTAAATTTCAAAGGTGATAAGTATCTAACTTAAAGAATAAAAGGGTGTTTTCAAATGTGTAGAGTTGGGGCCAGCATGGTGTGGTAGTTAAACAGGAGCCTTTCATGTTGGAATCTCATAACAGCGCTGGCTCAAGTTCTGGCTGCTGTGCAGCTCTGTCCTGAGTGCCTGGGAAGGCAGAAGATGGCCTAAATAATTGAGCCCCTGTGAGACAATTTCATATAGCAAATATAGTTACAACTGTAATCTCAGAAGAGAGAATGAGGAATACAAGGGAACTATATAGAGAAATAGTGATTCAAGTTTTCTTGTACATGCTTCAATTTTATTGGAATTTTTCCCTGTGAGTTAAGTTCTCAAATGATGCATATATTCCATGGATTCTGTTTAAAATATATTTATTATAAAGTCAGTAACAGAGGAGGGTGGGGAAGACAAAGATCTTCTGTCCTCTGGTTTACTCCCCAGATTACCAAAATGGCCAATGTTGGATCAGGCTGAAGCGTGAAGTGTCCTCTGAGTTTCCCACAGGGGTGGCAGGACTTTGCTCTTCCATTGCTGTCCTAGGCAGAGAGCTAGATCAGAAGTGGAGCAGCTGGGACTCAAACCAGTGCCCATATTGGATGCTGACATCCCAGATGGAGGCTGCAGTGGCAGACTCCATGGATCATTTTCCCAACAACTGGTTTTCTTGTTTTTAAAACTTAATTTCTTTCCCATTACAAAAATTTACCTGAAAGTCATTAGACAAGAAGTGTTAGAAAAAAATTGATTTCATATACGAAAAAATGCTCAATATCACTAGTCCTCAGGATAATGCAAAAGCAAATCACAATGACATACCACTTCACATGATGCTACCCAAGAGAGAACAAAGGCTGGTGAGGACATGGAGACAGGGAAGCTCTCATTGGAGGAATATAAGTTATTGCAGTTAACGTGGAAAACAGTATGGAGATTTCTTAAAATAGAAATAGATGTGCCATATGATCTAGCAATTCCACTACTGGGTATATGTACTCAAAAGCATGAGCACTTTATATCAGACTTATTTGTATCAGTCTGTTTGCAGGCAGAGCTGTTTAGAGTAGCCAGAGAGCCAACCAAAATGCCCATCATCAGATGAATGAATGTAAGAATGATATACATGCCCACGTAATGGATTATTTGGATGTAAAAATAGAAACTGTGTGATTTGCAGCAAAATGGTGGGAATTGGAGGACATCAGGCTAAAGAAAATAAGCCAGAAACAAAAAGACTACTGCTGCATTTTCTCCTTAATATACTGAACTAAATTAAAGAAAATACATAGGAAATGGAGTGTATCAGTTTAGTTCCAAATACAGTGTTCTGTTAAACTGTTTTAAATCTTTGTCAAAGAAATTGGTAGGAAATATATTATTATAGTTGTTGGTGACTTTTAAAATGTACTGTATGAAGGGATATTGATCATTTTGATTGTTTATTGCCCTTGGCGATGTTCCTGCCATACAATGTCCTTTTACTTTTGTTTGTTGAACTTTTTGTTTAATAGAACCATTAAAACCTTTGTATATAGTGCAGATTAAAGTTATTTTATCTCAAAAATGAAATATTAAAGAGAAAATAAGTAATACTTTGATTAGCAATAGCAAGGAAACCCACTCATTTTTCTTTTCTTTTTCTTTGTTCTGGAAAGGGAGTTTCGGACCTTGGTAATTGAGATGGTGATGGCTACGGATATGTCTTGTCATTTTCAACAAATCAAAGCAATGAAGACCGCCCTGCAGCAGCCAGAAGCGTAAGTGAGCCTGGGACCAGTGTTTTTCAAAATGTTGGGACCAGAACTTGTCCATGCTATTGTTGATTACCTTTTAAAGTGGATTTCCTTCAATGTAGCATTACCAAGTGGTCTCACAAATGGCTAATGTCTTAAGGACACAGCATGGACATGGTCCAAACCACAATTTGCTCTATTCTTATCAGGGCTGAGATAGATTTTGTCCCAGTTAGAAGTGCAACTATTTCCCCTGGCAAACAAGGTTTCTGACTGATTCAATCATCTGTGACTTAGATTTAGTCGCACGTGTCTAGTTCAATCAACAAGGAGACCAAGCTTATGAAGTTCTATTTCTAGGAGGAAATGGTGCCTTTCCTTCAATTTAGCTGCAGTATATTTGACTTGGAAGAATTGAAGGGATAAAGCACAAATGGATTGTTTTGAACCCTCATTGAGAGTCTAAAGAGGGTGGTCCTCATGCGTTTGGGTGCTTTGATTTACAGAATTGAAAAACCAAAGGCCTTATCCCTGATGCTGCACACAGCAGATATCAGCCACCCGGCAAAAGCCTGGGACCTGCATCACCGCTGGACCATGTCACTCCTGGAGGAGTTCTTCAGACAGGTACCTTCCTGCAGTGCCACCATTACTGCCTGTTTTGTAAATCGCATACTTCAGCAACACCGGCAGAGCCTATTGAGATCTATTTGGAGAGGGTGGACCTGACCATGTGTGGTGCTTTCTCATCAGGTTCTGTTTGAATCTTACTTACATTGTGATTCTCAGGTCATTATGGTATTGCTATCCTGTGCATTTATATATGATCAGAAAAGGTTAAATCTTTTTTAAAAAGATTTATTTATTTTTATTGTAAAGTCAGATATACAGAGAGGACAGACAGAGAGGAAGATCTTCTGACTATTCACTCCCAAAGTGACCGCAATGGCCGGAGATGTGCCAATCCGAAGCTGGGTCTCCCACATGGGTGCAGGGTCCCAAGGCTTTGGGCCATGCTAGACTGCTTTCCCAGCCCAAAAGCAGGGAGCTGGTTAGGTAGCAGGGCTTTTGGGATTAGAACCGGTGCCATACAAGGTGAGGACTTTACCTGTAGCACTGTGGCAGGCGCACAAATTGAATCTTAAAGTACACATTACTTTAAAAAGAAGAACAAGAACAAGAAGAAAAAGAAGAAAGAAAAGAAGAAGGAGAAGGAGAAGAAGAAGAAAAGTGAATAGAATGAAAGAAATAGAAACCAACCTAAGAGCATAGCAGACCCACCCAACATCAGCTGTATGAGAGCTGCCATTCAGGCATAAGAACCCCAGGGTGGAAGGCATGATCTGAATTACAGGCCCTCGGTTACAACGAAGTTACTACAGTTCATTCTTGTGCACAGATTCAGGGACCTCTAAGATTTCATAAAATACTGCTTCTTAACTTCATCCCACTTCATCTCCTAAATCGGCAAGAAATATGCTCCTTTGCTGTTTCTGTCAAGTGTTACAAGAGAATCGCTTTTGTGGTTACTCTTACTCCTAGGGTTCTAATGTTGGTGGAGGTCCTGTAGACAGTATCCTAGCATTTGCTTTACCTTTCTGCAGCTGTGTATGCTGTTGAGGTGGGACTAGAGTTAACAGTGATTCAAGCAAAAATCCCAAAGTGCTGTATAGGAGTTCTTATTCCAATAAGTTTGTGACCTGGACTAATCAAATGCCTACTATAATTTCCTGTGGTCTTATCTGCAGTTTGTTTCATGGAGGGAGAGTGATGTACTTCTTTCCACCTGTCCATGGATGCTCATCAGTACCTGCACCTGCATCTCCAAGCTGTTGCATGCGCAAAGCATCAGGCGCTCTGTTCAGCGAACGGCCATTTCTCTTTGCAAATGCATTGTATGACCTTCCCCAATACAGTTGTCACTGCATCTCTGGGTTCTATAGCCACAGATGCAACCAATCTTGAATTGGGGAGGCAAAGACATGCTCAATTTTTTTTCTTTTCAATATTTCTTAAAACAGTGCAAATGATGATGTTTATATAGCATTTGTGTTGTATTGGGTATTATAAACATCCTAGAGATTATGTAAAATACAAGTATCTGGATCAATATGCGTAGGTTGTATGCATATGCTGTACCATTTTATTTAAGAACCTTAAATACCTATGGGTTTTGGGCACGGCGCGGTGGCCTACCAGCTTAAGTCCATGCCTTGAACGCATCAGGATCCCATATGGGCACTGGTTCTAATCCTGTCAGCACCGCTTCCCATCCAGCTCCCTGCTTGTGGGCTGGGAAAGCAGTCAAGGACAGCCCAAAGCCTTGGGACCCTACACCTGCAAGGGAGACCCGGAAGAAGCTTTTGGCTCCTGGCTTCAGAACAGCTCAGCTCCAGCTGTTGTGGTCACTTGGGGAGTGAATCATTGGACGGAAGATCTTCCTCTCTCTCTCCTTTCTGTATACCTGACTTTGCAACAAAAAGAAATAAATCTTTTAAAACAAAATACCTGTGGGTTTTAATATCTGCAAGGGGTCCAGGCCCCTATGGAAACTGAGGAATGCATTGCCATTCTCCAAGGGAAACCCAATACTCTGTTGGAGGCTGGAAAATTAGGCTGCAGAGCTGTGACTCGATTGTATGTATAAGAATGGCTGCAACTTCATCATCACTGGGGGTTTATTTTGGGCCATTTTCTTAATATTACTGAGACATTTTCATCAAATATCCACTCTTCTCAGACATTTTCTTTGATATTATTTTTTGCAATAACATCCCCCTCAAATCTAAGAGTTTTGTGTATGGCCAAAGGGTAGTTCATAGCCAACTCATGTAAGCTTATAGTATTGAAGTGAACTGTTGTTTTTAATTATGAGAGACTGAATATGAATTACTCAAATGCGTGAACATTATTTCCTCAGAAAGGAAATCTTGTTTGCATACACATATGCTCAAATTGGATGAAAATGTGCTTGAGGCATTGTGAAAATAACCATATTGAATTTTCGCCTATTGGGAACAGAATGTTAGCTCACTGAACTGGAACTATTTTTCAGTAATTAGAATTCATAAATTATTTTTATTGACTCATTATTTTAACCCAGAAGCCATAAACTTTAGTAAATAATCCATGGAGGAGAAATATTACCGTGGCTTCTCACTGTAGATTTTAATTTGGACAGTTCAAATGAGAAGTTTCAATGAGACTTTCAAGAAATGACATTTGGAAAGTTGGGTGATATTTCAAAATCAGGGCACAGCTCCGGTGCCAATGGGCCAGACCTTCCATCCTTAGCTGAAAGACTAAGTTATGTCTTCAGTTTTATGACCATGTTTTATAAAATTCAAATCACTCCCTTGGGGTGATTCTCAATGACATGTTGACTTTAAAGCATAAATTTGAGTCCCCGGTAAATGTATTTTGTTGTAAGAGCCTTAAGGTTCATTTTCTTTGTATTGCTGTATAGGTTTAAATTTTGTTAACATCTTTTGCAATGCTTTTACATTCTTCTGCCTTTGGTTATTAACCTGTCTTATTATTTGATCTATTATGAATTGACAGAAAATTCATGAAAAATGCTTGTGAAAAAAGCAGCATTCAAATTTTCATTCAGAAATCTTAATTTCATTTTTTAACACATTTTGAAGTTCCCTTTTGTTGCCATTTTTTTTTCTTCTTATGAAATTGTTCATTTGTATTTTATTGTTTTGTTTGTGTTACAATGCCTTTATGGGCTTTTATTTTTATTCATTTCTTCTAGAATTTATTTTGGTTTCTCAACTTTCAGTTGGATGCTCAGTTCATTTCATTTCCACTTTTTCTTATTTAATGTAAAAGACTATAAAGTTAAGACCTTATTTTTTCATCGAATGAATCTCAGATTCTGATGAGCAGTATTTTCACAATAGTTTCATATCAAATATTCAGTGAATTTGGCTTCGATTTTTTAATCTAAATTACTTCAGAATGAGGGATTTTTTTGTTGTTGTTGTTCATAATTTCCAAGTGGTTGATGTGCTTTAACGTCATTGTCATGAAACTGTAGACATTGAAATTTGATAAGCTGATGTTTGCATTGTTTAGAGTTTATTTTGAAATTTCTATATATGGTCAACTGTTTTGGATGCTAATGGTTCATAAAGTAGATTTCCCACTCACAGTGTATGTAGTTGAAAGAGCACCAAAAACACCTACCTTGTCATATATGTGTCTTATATACCTTTCAAATATTTGAGCTATTATGGGATACCAGGGGGTTCTGTCATTTTTTTATACATTCTGATTTTTGCATCAGAACTAATACTGTATTATTTAATTCTTAACATTCCAGTTAGATAATCCTTGCTTACGATATTTATCATGATAACTTCCACTTGGCTAATAGGAATCAAATTTGAATTCTAAAAGCATTGGATGAGACATTGTCTTTTATAACTTTTTAATCTTTCAGAGACACTGGTTTAGGGGTGTCTCTTAGGTACTGTGTATACAGTTGTCCCTCAGTATCCATGGGAGACTGGTGCCAGGACCACTGCATATCAGGCTCAGCATGCTACAGGCTCTTGTAATAAAGTGCTGTATTTTCAAATAAACTATGCACATCCTCCCACATACTTAAATCCTTTCTCACTTATAATAAATCTTTATACCATGCTATATCAAATTTACATCATTGTTTAGAGAATAAAGACAAGGAAAAGGTCTGCATCTCATTATAGATGAAGTTTTTAAAAGATATTTTCTTTGTGCTGGTTGAATCTGTAGATGCAGAACTGGGTATATGGGGAGCCTGCTGTAACTGAGATTGGCTAATGAGTCAGTCCCAGGTTCTTTTCCTTAATTATTTGAAGTCACCCATATTAACATGTTGAAATGAGAATATTTGGCCGTAGGTACTATCATACCTTACATCATGCATTCTGTTATCATGTATTTCTTTTGAAATATTGATGTGTCATCTATTTATATCTGTCTTCCAATGATCTGGATATGTGGTTATGTTTTTAGTTTTTCTAGTGGTCAACTTAGTAATGAAAACTTAAATCTATGTATATGGTCTCACTGAAAGGCAGACAGAGATTTAAAGGCAAGAAACAGGAAGATCTCATCCCATGGGTCACTACTCAGATACCACGAATAGCCAGAGCTGAGTCTGGCCAAGGTCTGGAACTCCATTCCTGGCCTCCCATGTGGCCTGAGTGCTTGTCCTGCATTGGCGTACTCCCAGGGTATGCATCAACAGAAAGCTGAAAGCGGAGCCCAGAATCAAAGCAGTGACTGATGTGGGGTGTAGGCTTCCCAAGTGGCCCCTTAACTGCTTATACCAAACACCTGTCCTTGAATGTACCAAAAACTGATTACCTTCCTGCTGTAAAAAAAGGCTTCTGCTTCTCTCATATCCTTGCCAACACCTGATTTTAGGTGACTTTAGTAGTTTTGAATTTTTCAGCAGGTTGCTGTATGTCTTGAGTGGCTTAGTGTATTCTATCTACATTTCATTATTATAATTGCATTATGTTTAGTTCTTCCTAGCATGTATGATTTGATTGGTTTTTAGCATTTAAATATTTTTTACGTTATTCCAGTACTTCATGTATTGGATTCAAATGACTCATTTTTACCCCATCTATAAAAAGAAGGAAGCTAGTGTTTATTCATCATTTACTAACACTTTTCTTCCCCTTCATTCACAACATAACTCCTTATCACTCCTTGTTGGTTACATTCTTTCTCCCAATTTTTTAAATGAGCATTCTATTTCATGTACTATATGCTCTTGATAAAAACGTATCCAAAGAGCCCAGCGTGACAGCCTAGTGGCTTAAGTGCTTGCCTCGCATGCACCAAGATCCCATATGGGCACCAGTTCTGAAGCCAGTGCCTCTGCTTCCCATCCAGCTCCCTGCTTGTTGCCTGGGAAAGCAGTGGAGCATGGCAAAAACCCTTGGCACCCTGCACCCATGTGGGAAACCCGGAAGAGGCTCCTGCCTTTGGATTGGCACAGCTGCAGCCATTGCGGCTGCTTGGGGAGTGAATCAACGGACGGAAGATCTTCCTTTCTGTCTCTCCTCCTCTTTGTACATCTGCCTTTCCAATAAAAATAAAATTAAAAAAAAATCCAAAACTCTGCAGCCCAGGAGAGTAGAAAAGAACAACACATATCAGGCAAAGACACACTATGCTAATTGTTCTCATCTCAGTCCTACTCAGAACTGGAACTCGGGCCATGGTGATCACCCCGTGTCGTGACTGTACACATTTGTTCCTCCTATGCCTTCTTTAAGGCAAGCCCCAATCCCTCAGTGAGGTTTCCCCAGGATAGTTGTCCATTGTGCTGCTCTCAGTGGAATCTTCACTCACGTCCCCTCCTTCCTGTACGCTGGTAGCTCATTTGTTGCTCTATTGCAGGTGTTTTACGTAAGGCCTTTTTCCTGTATGCATTTTGGGGGTCTTGTTTATAGGTTTTTGTTTTTCCTGGGACTGTTCCTGCCGATACTCCTCAGTGTTCCCACCATCTCTCCCTTTTTCTCCTTCTCCCTCTGCTTCCTTGTCCCTCTCCATCTGGCTCTTTCTCCTTCATCATTATTTTCCCTCTTTGAATGACTCATTGTTGTCTTTGGAAACTTGCCAGAGATTGATTATCAGGAAGAAGCCAGACCATTAGCAGCCAAGCTTTCCTAGAATATCTCTGGTTTAATAGAAGGCTCCCAGGAAGTGGTGTGAGTGTGTATGTGTGTGTTTGTGTGTGTCCATCCTTCTTTTTCCCAGACGACAGTGGGTAGCAGTGGGCAGGCTACTCACAGTCCAGTCTTTCACCAGTCCCTGGGCATCTGTCACCCACAGCACTTGCCAATGTTTATGCAGTTTTGATTGAAATATTTTTTTTGCAGTGTGTTTGCATTTTTGTCCTCAAAGCTATAAAGATTTTTTTTAAAAAAAGATGTATTTATTCTTATTGAAAGGGCAGATATACAGAGAGGAGAAGAGACAGAGAGGAAGATCTTCTGTCCACTGATTCACTCCCCAAGTGGCCGCAACGGCTGGAGCTGAGCCAATACGAAGCCAGGAGCCTCTTCTGGGTCTCCCACACAGGTCCCAAAGCTTTGGGCTGTCCTTGACTGCTTTCCCAGGCAACAAGCAGGGAGCTGGATGGGAAGCAGGGCTGCTGGGATTAGAACTGGGATCCCGGCACCTTCAAGGCGAGCACTTTAACCACTAGGCTATTGTGCTGGACCCTGTAAAGATTTTTGAAAGCAAAGTAGCAGAGAGCAAGAAGGGTAGTGGTGGGGAGGACAGGGAGAGAGGATACAGAGATGGCACATTTTGTGGTTCACTTCCCAAATAACTGGCACAGCCAAAGTTGGACACGACCAGGACCAGGAGTCAGGATTTCTGTCTGAGTCTCCAAGAGTGGCAGGGCCCAATTCCTTGGCCATCATTTGGGCCAGGTGCCCTTGCAGGAAGTTAGATGGGAAGTTGAGCTGCCAGGACTTAACCCAATATTCCGTGTAAGATGCCAACATCCCAAGTATTGGCTTTACCCTCTGTGCCATGACAACTACCCACCTTCACAGTTTTGATGTGATAATTTATAAGGACCTAAGTTTTGCTGTGCTTTTAAATCCATAGATCAATTTTTTTTTTTTTTTTTTGTAACTTAAACAATTGTGCTTTCCTCCCGAGAGAGGGAGGAGTGTATGTTGTTGCATTTTGTTTGGCTTTGTTTTTGCTTCTTTTCTCAACATATACTTAATCTCCACCTGCAGGAAATTTTTCAGATGAAGTGAAGTACTTTTATCTCAAATGCTTGGGACTGGAGGTGTTACAGGTCTGAAGATTTTTAGGATTTTTTTTTTTTTGTGCATATGCCTAATGAGAGATATTGGGGCCCACATCTAAACATACGTTTTGTATTTCACGTGTACCTTGCGAAATATATCCCAAAGGTAGTATTATGTAATTTTCAGTGCGCCCGCCTTTTTATTCCAGCCTATCTAATGACATCATGTGTGTAATTTTTTGACTTATGGTGTCAGTGCTCAAAGTGTTTCAAATTTTGGAGCATTTCAGTATGTGGATTTCTGGACCAAGAATGCATCACTTGTATTTTCTCATTGTCTTCTGAAGCTCTCACATTGGCAGATACCATCCTCTTTTGTAAACTCATGCATAAAGATGACCCATTGTTAAAAATTAACATTTTTGTTTACATTGTAGTCCTAACTTGCTGCTTCTTTCATGCTGTTCTCATAAATCCTCAAATGTATAAAAAGCATATAATTGGAAGTTTATTACCCACTTATGTTAAGTATAAGACAAGTGTTTCTTGATGCAAGGCCTAAGATCCATAGTGGTTTTAGATGCACAATCAGCTATCCAAGATGCTAGTCTGCATTGAACCAGCAAAGACAGGAAAATCGCAGAGAAGTAGGCATGGAGAATTTTGTACACCTGAACTGTGATGGAAATACAGCGCCTCTCCTCTTATTTATTATTTAGTACAACTGACCAGCAGATTCTGGACAATGCGGTCCACCTGTATGGACAGGAAATGTAGAGATGACATTTTGCAAACAGCTCCCTTTCTCGTTACTCTCGTTTCTTGTCTGTCACATGTGAGCAACGAGAAACTTGAGTGTTTCTAACTGTAGTGGTTTATTATTTCAACACATTTTCATCATCTTCTTTCTGCATATTCTGTACATATTATTGCCTGACATATTATTGCCTGGAATTATCTTAACCCATGTCACTGGGGATTATTTTTTCTGGGCTATCCTGCAAGAAAATTCAAATTAAAGTTAAGAAGATTCCTTGGTGATAGCTGCGACTTCTACCCTGTTCTGAAAAGCTGACTTCCCTAGGTAAAGAGTAAAATATGTGTTTTAATCTTCAAACAGTCAATACTATAATCATACAGTATTACTAGTCAAGTTGGATTCAGTGGAAGTCTGTTCCTCCATGTTAATTTTTTTTGGGAGGGGGAGTGTAGGTTGAGGATCTAGTGGCCAATCATGCTGTATTGTGCAGCTAGACAGACCTTAAAAAAATCTGTTATTCTTGCTCTCTGTGTTCCATTTTTCATTATGAATTAAAAAGTGAACATCATTCTAGTTGTGTAGGGCTTTAGCTATCTCTAGGAGACAAATCCGAATCAGTCTGAGTTTGCATTTTGGACACTTCCCACCATGAGAGGTTCACAAGCCAGATAGATAAGGACCATTTGTTGTCATAGAACCATTTGAGGCACAACAGCGATGCTGGCTGCACTGTTGGCTCTAGGCTACAGGCTGCATTTCCTGTTGCCTTACTTTCCATGGCAATTCTCAGTGTTGCCCAGTGAGGCTTTCTGTACCATAGCATGGACTTTGCAGTTAGCATGAGTGGACTCCAGAAATTTCATCCTTTTGGTGTTAATATAAAGGAGCAGATCCCATAGGACTTATTGCATACATCATAATTAAAGGCTGGTGGCCTTTGGAGCAGCTCAGTCTACTGCCCCCTAATGTGCAGTGATTTCCTGTTTTTCTCTAGGGCGACAGAGAAGCAGAGTTGGGACTACCCTTTTCTCCTCTGTGTGATCGAAAGTCGACGATGGTTGCTCAGTCGCAAGTAGGTATGTGTTTGCCGCCCACTGGACTTGGACGCCAGATGAGAACCCAGTGGACATAAGCCCAGATGCTTTCAGCATCTCTCTGCCTGGGAAACTGAACCCGTCCTGTGCTCTCAGCTTTCGTTGATAGGTTGATGGAGTCACACTCTCCATCCTCCAAAGAAAGTAGGCCCATTGTGGGAAGGCTATGCATCATTCCCTGCCAAAGCAAAACAACTTTCTTACACAATAAGCACATTCTGTTTCAACTTCTCCATTCTGGGTACCTGACTGACCTTGCCACATCATTTCTTCTTTTGATGGCTTCCATTAGCCCTGCTTTCTGGGCCACCCGTTTCCAGTTTGATCCCACATCCAGAGTTGGTTCTTTTTAGAATGTTTCCTTCCTTCCTCCCTCCTTCCCTCCCTCCCTCCCTCCCTCCCTCCCTCCCTCCCTTCCCACTTCCTTTCTTCCTTCCTTCTTTCCTCTTTTTAACATCACTCCTGGAAGGGGGAAAAGAATAACTTCTATACTTTTCATTATAAAATATATGCACTACAAAAGTCAGAAGCTATGAGAGGATATAGTGCCTTACAATGTTAAGCATCAGATATCTCCATCTTTGAAGATTGAAGTTAATAGAAAAGTAAACATAGTACAGATTTGGCTTTTCTGCCCTAATTTTGTGCTTTTGCAGGCAGGGGAGGAGGGAGAAACAGAGAAATATAAAAGCTGACTTGAGTGGTGGTCAGGGGATTCTAAAGAATTCTATATGGCAAGAGTCAGATGTGGTGACATTTCTGAAGAGAAAACTCAGGACTAGGTTAATAGCATGAATTTCTGCTTCCCTGAAGGAAATGATGTAGAACTTTATGTAACGATAAAAAGCATAAATTTACATTTAAGCCTGTGGGCTAAATTGGGACTATCACCTGTTCTGGCAAATTTTGTTTTAACACATCTAGGCCCATTGATTTACATATTGTCTGTGGAAGCTGTTGCACTGTCATTGCAGAACTAAATGATAGTGGCGACTTGGTCAGCCAGGTTTAAGCTAACAAGGTGGTCCTTTATATACAAGTTTGTTATTGCCTGTTGAAAGTTCCTCTGTTAGAGGCAAAAAGGTTGAATTAAAGGTGGAGTTGAGTCAGACTAGGGACAAGTTGGTTGCCTCCTGTGAGATTGCAGGAAGACTATGATGAATGTCAGAGCCAAGATGAGCAATGGAGTGTCCAGGAGAGAGAGGGTGTGGCAGCTGTAGAGGATTTGGCAAGAGGTGAAGGATAGGACACAGTGTGGGTCAAGATTAAGTGGTTGGACCATGATCCCAATTACAAGGGCTATGGGGAAAGCTGATGAGTTTGTTTTGGTTTGGACATGTTATTTTACCTTGGGAGAGAAAAAAGTGGAGGATGATGCCGTCAGATTTCAACTTCTGCTGATGATGCTAGTTATCTACCTTGCACACTTGGTGGTTACCACTTCCTCATCAGGATATCGTTAGTATTTAGTTGGGACAATTCTTTTGTCAAATACTATAGTTATTCTAGCATCCCTCACCACATCAGATGTTAACATCACCCCCATCCACTTATTGTAAAACCAAAGATGTGGTCTTAGAGTCCAGACACCCTTCAGGTGTCCACTTCCTGTGGCTGCTCTTCCTCTGGTTCCTGGGGTTGAGTAATCAATTACCATTGTCCCCAGGAATCCCAGCTCACCCATTCTTCCCTGTTGTGTTGCAGAACAGAGACACTCATCCTAGCTCACTTTCACACAGGTGTAGTTTCACAAAGGTATAGTAGCAGATGTAAGTTTTCAATCCTTTTTTGTCCAACTCTTTGCCTTTCCTACCAGGATGTGTCTGCTGTACCTCCCCATCAGCCCATCTAGAGCTGATCTTGTCACCTTTCCCCAGCCATATTTACCTGCTCTGTTTCTGGAGCCTCTTTGGCAGGTTCCGCTTGGAGGCACCACCCACCTGTGTTCTATAGGTATCTCTGCCTCCTTTGCATTCCCTCCTGACTTACCCATTGTGCTAGTCCCACCTTCCTCTTTTTAACTATTGAAATAACTTCATTTTCTCAGCTTTAACCCCTCCCGCTTCCTTCCTCTCTCCTGCATCATTCCAAGTTAGGTTTCTCAAAGAAAATTACAAAATTCATTACAGTGTTGCCAAGACACCTTCAGGGTCCTCTGGTGCTTTTCTAAGTCCCAGCTCCTTTGTGTGCCACTTTAGAGCTTTGCTTCCTGAGCTGAATGATGTGGTGCCTTCTTAGACTTTTTCCAGAGTGCAAAGGAATCCTTAGCCCCAGTCACTATTGAGGTGCATCCTGTACTTTCCTCCATTGGTCAGTTGGTTTATTCCATATCCTTTTCACCCAGAGTGAGCAAACTCTCTACTGATGCTCAGGGCTCAGTTCAAACATCACAGCCTCCATTCAGCAGTTCATACACCTCTCAGTGGGAGGAGGGAGATGTTCTATTCCCTTCCTAACCTTACCCAACAGCTTCGTCTGAGTTTCTTTGGCCTCTGTGTACTCCAGGTATCATCTGCTTTCAGTTAATCTTTTCTGTCAGTTTCTTGAGGGCAGGCAAGTTGTGTTATTCATTTATTCATTTTAGTCTTAACTAGCTCCTATCATGGTTACATGGTGCATTTTCATTTAACAAAGTGTTTAAAAAGACATTCCTCTCTATTGAAAAGTGAAAAGAAAGATCTGTAAGGGATATGGTATCAATCTCTATGATTTTTGCCTCAAGTATGCTGAATGAATAAGACTGACTCTTCACATGGCCTGGGACTCCTCGGCAGGTGGATTTCCAAGAAAAAGCCCGTTGACTTTTTACTGGGAAGTCTAGGCTGGCCCCAGTTGAGCTGTATTCTCTCTGAAGCATATGCCATTTCCCTGCAGGTTTTATTGATTTCATTGTGGAACCCACTTTCACTGTGCTCACGGACATGACCGAGAAGATTGTGAGTCCGCTAATCGATGAAACTTCCCAAACCAGTGGGACAGGACAGAGACGTTCAAGGTCAGTGGAGAAGCCTGATGGCAGAAGGTGGGGGCCTGTCCACGACGATGGAATTTGGCTCTGTAATCAGACTGCCAGCATTAAAAACCTTGACCCATCATTTTAACTATGCAATTTCAGCAAGTTTCCTCAATGATTCCATCAGAGTATGTCATGATCATAGATTGCTGTGAATGCTAGAGGAATTATTCAGTATATACAAGCAACTACAATGGATGTAACTTTGAGGAAGAAGTAAATAAAGCTGGAAATTGATCTTTGTTAGTAATAGTAAATACTATCACTTTGCTGCTATTGGTACTATAACTACTGTTGCCTTCAGTATCATTATTGTTGCTGCTACTGCCGCTACTACTTCCTCATTCATGCAAAGATGATCATAAAGGAGAAGGACCACAGGAAGACAGAGTAAAGAAAAAAGGGAGGCAAGTGAGAGCATGAAGACAATGAGACCCCAGGATGCCCAAGTTGGATGGACTGCTTGAGGTTGCTTACAAAGCTAGAAACCCCCGGCCCAAGTCCGACCACTGTAAAGCATGAAAACACATTCTGCTTGTGTAGTTGCCTTCCTTGTCAGTGGATTTTTGTTCCTGTCAGTCGCACTTGAAGGAGCGTGAAATATTTTGCTCATGTTTTCCATGAAAAATATGCTCTATTATTTTCAGCCTTTCATATGTAAAGCATAAAGCAATAGTCATATAAAATCAGAATGTTAGCCTTGTCTGATCTTTCACAATTTTCAAGTTACCTGTGTTCTTTCACCTTCTCCTAGCAACTTTTAAGGAAACTTTGACCTTTTCTGCATTTAGGGGAGCTTAGGATTAGAGGGAAAGTGGAGCTGTAAATAAAGAGAATCAGATTGCTGGGGAACTGGAAAAGTGATCAATGTAGAAGCATGTGGGTGAACTGTTACACAAGGAGAAGTCCACATTCAAGTTCATTGGTTTCAGAGGCTACAAGAGAAAGTTCTTGTGAAGATTGTAGGTATCAGAATAAAGAGGAGACCAATGGAAAATAAACCTAAGGGGTACAAAAGGCTGCAATATTGACAGTTTTCCTGCTGAAATAGAGAATTTTCTACCTGTCACATATGACAAAGAATAATTGCAGATGGCAAGAGCCAGCAGATTCCTAACAATAGTTTGATGAATGCTAACCACTCCTCTCTGGGACTTGCTCATTGGCATTTTTTTTTCCCAAATACTAACTCTGTTCTTTGAAATTATCTCTGTTGCCTCTAGTTTAAACAACATCACTTCATCAGATGCCAAGCGTTCAGGTGTGAAGAGCTCTGGGTCGGAAGGAAGTGCCCCCATCAACCACTCTGTCATCCCTGTTGACTACAAGAGCTTTAAGGCTACGTGGACTGAAGTGGTGCACATTAATAGGGAGCGATGGAGGGCCAAGGTGCCCAAAGGTAATTCATGCTGCTTGGGTCTTCTCAAAGATTTGTTCAAACAAAATTAACATTCACTCATGAAATAAGGAGTTGGCTTCCCTCCTGGGGGCACTCCCAGCTGCAAACTGACCTTTTCCAATCTGAAGTTTCTATCTCCAATCACAATATGAAATTTGGGGTTCACATCCAAGTCGTTGACAGGAGGAAAGGACACATTGTGGCCAGCTGGAATGCGGCAAGTCTGCTTCTAGTGTAGGAACTGCAGCCTCACTAGCTATTGGGGTTATTCAAAGGCCAGTCATTGTGATTCATCCACAAAGTCCTATGTAAGCAGCTGTTCATTTAAGGTGAGTCAAAGGAGTTATATTTATGGCACTTTCAGGGCATAATTGGACTCTTATCATTTCGGGACAGATGTTACACTCCAGGCTACAGTGTGAGCCAACATCTCTTTCATGTTTTAAGTGCAAAGTCTTATAGTCCCTTCCAGTGCTTTCCACATCTAAATCCTCCCCATCGGCATGTGTGGCAGGCAGCAGTGGCAGCTACTTCCTCATGTCAATAAGAGGCACACTCTTAGAATCCATTACACTCATTACATCAGGCAATCCCACATCCTGACAACATGCAATTTAAAAGAGTTGCTTTCAAATAATTGGTTTGCAATGATTTGGCTTTCTAAACTTACCTTCTGAAACTAATAACCCAGGGAAGCATTAGCAAGTTCCTTTACTAAGGCAAAGCTGAAGCTTTTTTTGTTTTTAAAGAGGACAAACAAGTAATCATTTTTAAATGTATTTGGTATGTGGATAGTGGTGTTTTCAGGCTAATTCAGAAGCTTAAGGATACTGATCCTGAATCCTTCCCAGACACTAAGAAGACATCCTTCAGCCAGGGCTTGAAGGATGATTGATGTTGGCACCTGAAGGTGATGTTTTCTTTGGAAATAGGCACAGGAAAAAGCAGAAAGATGAAGACCCAAAGCCTGGGTTACAGATATTTAATGTGAGGAGGATTTGGTGATCAAGGCACGTTTTGGTTAGTAAAAGGGAGAAATGAGTCTCAAGTTGCAAGATATTCTTTGAGATTCCCTTTATATTTGTTATAGGTGCTGAAATGTAATGTCTATGAAAAGTCACGTGTGACCTCTCCAGCAAAATAGAACTAATGGAGAACTCTTAATCCGCTTTCCTAAGCATGTGTAGGAGTAAAAAGTCCCCCATGAATTGGGATAATAGTTTTTCTGCTTTTATGTTTCTACCTTTAACACTTTAGCGTGACACTGAATGATTCTGATTTAAGTGTTATGAAACAGCATAGTTGGGCCATTCTTCTATAGTCATCCTGTTCCTCGTGACTATGTGTAACGTTGTTCTGAACGTTTAAATTCAGGAATCTTTGGCCTGACTTCTGATTTCTAGATGTAGAGATCCTCTGGCACTGGAGGTTAAGAAGTTTCGAAAGTTCTTAATGTGTGTTGCTACTATTGGGTGTTAGCAAAAGGACAGAGAGCTGAACCACAGTGTTTGTTTCCACTAGTCTGCAAGTGTCAAGGATGCTACATATAAGGAAAGGGTTGATTTTCTGTGGACCTGCCATTGTTGGACCTTATTAGCATGCCCTTGTCTGCTGTGTTCTCACTTGCCTTTTCTCACTGGAGGAAAATTGGCATTTAAGCGTACTAAATGGAAAATCATACTGATAATGTCATCTTGTACATACAAGGAAATCTGATTCTGGTCTAAAAGACCTACCTTTGGCCAACACTCCTTTCTCATGTTGCCTGTCTCTGTGTCTACTTGTGTGAGTGGGACCTCTTTGGGTAGTGGAAGGTGGATCACACTTCGCCCACTGCTTTAGAGACACAAAGTAGAGATGAAGTTGAGAAGTTGAAGAGCATCACAGCGCCACCTGCCAAGATGTGACTATCACAGAGAAAGTTCAGTCAACGGGGCAGGCTTCTGTGTGCTTTGATTGGGATGCTGTCATTTAGACATTAATTGCTTGATTTCAGTATAACTGAAAAAATATCAAATTTGTTTCTGAAATACACCCACTACCAGGTTTGTTTTTTGGCCAGATTTCCCATGGAAAACTGGTCTGACTCAGTTGTCAAGTATATTATTCTTGCTCAGATCATTTTTTTAAACTCTGATTTGCTACAATGGAGCATCATAGCTTTGGTTTTTGGGAAAAATTTTTTTTTTTTTAACTTGGAGATATTTGGATGTTGAAGTTTCCCAAGGACTCAGTAGACATTTGGGGAGATTGTCAATCATTCCTTCCAATGTAATATTTTTAAAAAAGATTTATTTCGTTTTATTTTTATTAGAAGCAGATACACAGAAAAAAGGAGAGACAGAGAGAAAGATCTTCCGTCTACTGGTTTACTCTCTGAGAGATTGGAACTGAACCAATCCTAAAGCAGGAACCAGGAGCCTCTGTGGATGCAGGGTCCCAAGGCTTTGGACCATCCTAAACTGCTTTCTCAGGCCACGATCATGGAGCTGGATGGGAAATAGAGCATCCAGGACATGAACCAGCACCCATATGGGATCCCAGCACATGCAAAGCAAGGATTTAGTCACTAGATTTTCACGCTGGGCCCCCATAGCAGATTTTGAATTGCAATGAATTCTCCCCCTTCCCCTTGACTCCAGTTTCCTCTCTGTGTAGTAATAGTTACCTTTTTAGTTACCTATACAGCAGTTCGGAAAACTGCTATTTATGGGATAGCTGACTCTTTTAGAACAGTATCTAGAGTTTTGTGTATGTTGTATGTTTTATGCCAATCTAGATTGCTGAAGAGGAGCTGTCTCCTGATAAGATCACATTGGCAGAAAAGATGAACACGCTGGTGGAACACATTTAGTTAACAAATACTTAAGAGTGTATGCTGTACCAAGCACTAGGATTTAGGGCAGTGGGAGTAGGGAGAGGAAAGATGTTTGACTCCTGCCTTATGGACCTTAGGGACATTCTGGGACCCCAGTATGTGCCACAAGTGCTATTTTACTGTCTTCTTTGTCAAGGGAAGCCTTTCATTCTTCAGCTGCACTTTCTGATAGAAGTCAGAAAATACGTAGTTATGCACATAATTATTTTGTTGGTAAAGAAATGTTTCCTTATTTCTTCCAATGTAAATTAGAAACACATCCTGTTGTGAAGGATGATGTCATGAAATGCTGAATGCAGGCATTTAACATTTAAGTCAGTGCTTCTCAGCCATGATTACCTCTTGAAAAATCAGCTGGAAAACAATTCAAATACCCTGTTCATTTCCCATTTACCCTCCAGAATCGGTTTTCATTTGATTTCATTTTCGTGGTGCAAGAACAGGGCATTGATTTGGATGAAGGTATGGGTCAATCAGTGGAAGATTGAAAGTTTCATGCTATATTAAGGGCAGACCTCTTAAGTAAACAAATACAGCGGCAGAAAAAGTAAGATGAAGCCAGATATCAAGTATCCACAAAATGCATGCAGTCAAACCTTGGGAACACGTGAACTGCTCACCATATTTGTTCTTGGAGCTTTTTAGCTGATAGAGATGCGATAGCGCTTCCTTAACAGAAGTGGATGGCACAATCTGGAAGATTTCTTAAATAAATTCAGTGCTGTGTAGTCAGTCTGTCTTAAGAATTGGTCCCTGTTAGGTGCCTTTTCTGTATATTACTCTCAGCTTCAACCTCATTGAGTTCAAGGTCAGAACCTTACTTGTCCCTTGATCATCCAGCCATATCATCTGTCAGTAACCCTTTGCCAAATTTACCTTAATCATCCTGGCTAGTTTCCCATTAGGGTTAATAGTTCTGTTCCTACTTTTACAGTAACAGTGACCTGAATATATATGGTGCTAGTGGTAGTGATTTTCCCTAAACGTTTTTTCAATCAGTTGTTTTAACTCACTATCCCACTCAAACTTACATAAAGCAGTTTTTGATGTGGTTTTGTTAAAGTGGTTAATGTGTCTAAGTCTTAGGGTTTCTTTGTTTTGTAAGCTTTGTTAGTGTATTTTAAAGTCAGAGTTAGATAGGGAGACAGAAAAATCTTTCAGTTTCTGGTTCACTCCTAAAATGGACAAAATAGCCAGGGCTTGGCCAGCCAATGCCAAGAGCTTCATCCTGGTCTGTCATGTGGTCTGCTGGGGCCCAAACATTAGGGCTATCTTCTGCTGCTTTTTTCCAGGCCATTAGCAGGGAGCTACATCCTAAGTGAAGCAGCCTGAACACAACTGGTTCCCCAGATGGGATGCCAGAGAGTTAGGCAGTGACTTTATCCACTACCACACAGTTCCTGCACTTGTAAAAGAAGGACACAGCAACAGAATATGACCATGGGAAAAAAATATAATCCTTGAAAAGCACTTAGCATACAACTTAGTGTGCAAGATATACTTAAAAATGCCTATCAATATTGCCCATTATAATGTTTGCTTGTTATATTGTATTCCTGACCCTCTTCTAACTTGTTTTCAGAAATGATGACATCATTAACCTGTTTTGCAGATCTACTGGGTAGCTGTACTAATCCATTCTGACTTGAATTAGCCAAAAATATGCCTCCAGCATAAACCATAGGCCATTTGGGGGATGTGAATTCCTGGAAGAAATCCTTCTTAAAGAGGCATTTTTCCTAATGGTGTGTCTGTGTGCTCTTTTCTCTGCCTTTCCTGATGCGCGTGGACACAGAGGAGAAAGCCAAGAAGGAGGCTGAGGAAAAGGCTCGCCTGGCTGCTGAGGAGAAGCAAAAGGAAATGGAAGCCAAAGGCCAGGCAGAAGAAGGCAAGGCCGAGAAGAAGGCATCTGGAGATGCCAAGAATCAAGGCAATGGGACACGCACAAACAGAAGTGAGAACCCTCGTGGGAAGAATGCCAAGGTGGAGAAGGCATCGGGAGAGAAGTCACAGACTGGTGAGCAGAATGGCCCTGGTGAAAGACTCTTTGTATGTGGTACTAATGTGATGAGGAGATGCTGGCAAAGCCACTTCCTGTGGTGATAGTGCACCAAATAGGGTTCCCCCAAACACCCCATCATTGGTGTTGACACCATCCAAAGCAGCCACCACCTCCTTTATACCACTTTTTGTAGAGGGAGTTATATCTTCCTGGTCCCTTTTTGGTTTCCCTTAGAATGCCAGCCAACGTCTCACTTCTTCCCTGGTGGAAATGATTGTCGGTAACCCTGTCGTTGATTTCAGAGCTTGCTGCCCAAATGACTGAACGCTGAGGATCAGTTTCTCATGTGCTAATTGCTCCACCTCTAGGTCTTACATGTACCTATAGCCAGCATCTTTATATGTAAATTATATGTGCATAGATGGGTCAATTAAAGTAATGGTCCACCCACCTGTAACACAGACACACACATGCACATTGCTTGCCTAAGGCTTAGGGGTTTCTGGGACACAGAAATTTCAGTTTTAACACCAGAAAGGTCCCAGGCAAGCTGGAATGAGCTGTTCACCACAGTGTACTGGTAGTTCATGCTTATTTGTATTCAATGCTATAGGTATCTGTTGATGAATGATGTGCCAACCCATGTGCTTGAAAGTAAGGATTTAGAAATGAAAAAAAACAAAAAACCTTGGAAACTCATGGCCTGAGGAACTTAAACATCCTCACTAATAATTCTGGGAACATGTAGACAAATAACCAGATGGCATAGGAGATGCCCAGGAAGCATGAGTCTGGAAAGCCACCAGCTCTGTTGGGACTGGGAAAGATGTCAGAGAAGGCTTTTGGTGGAGTGGTGTGTCTGAGCCAGGTTTTAAACACTGCAGTGTGCTAGTCAGTTAAGAGATGATGGTGAGTGCATAAGGATACGCACTTCATTCCCTTGCTTTGAGAAGGGCAAGAAGGTTGGAGCCTCTGGGGCTTCCAAGGGCAAGATTGTGACCAAAGAGTAAGGTGGCCTACCAATCAGAATTCAAGTCAGAGCAGTGCCTTTCCATTTTTAGTGGGTTGAACCCTCTTTGTAAACTGTGCATAATCCTTGCTTAAGCCATCTTTTCTGAACCTATAAGCATCACAGGTGTAAACAAAGGCAGCAAGTAACGTTGATGGTAGACCTCCTCATCCACAAGTTCTAAAACCCGAGTAGATGCTGGAAGTCACATTTCATACCCAGCCCAGTATGTGCTGTGTTTTCTTCTGTGTGCTCTGCAGCATAACCAGGCAGCACCAGAGTTATATCTAAGTTTTGTCCCCTAGTACCTTTTAGTAGCTCTGCTCTTGCACCCTGAAGCCATTCTTAAGTGAAATGAAATTAGAATGCAAATGCAGTGATAGCAATACCAAGATGGTTGATCCAATAAATCAAGATATCTATCCAAGAGATAAATGAGTGTGCAGTGCATGCAGTGTATTTCTTCTGGACAAAGGGATGATTCACCTCCCAGGCAGGATGCAGTGAGATTTGCTCACACTTCTGAGAATGACTTGCAGATTAAGATTAGAAATGGATTCTGAAACTTTTCTATTCATAGTTTTGACCAAAATTGACCATAGTTAACTAACCACAGGAAGAAAAATCATGGCTAAAGGAGAGCTGTCGTACTAAATACGTACCAGATGACAGTTTGAGTTATTTTGCATATTCATTCCCTTACTTGTCAGGGAGGGTCAGAAAATCTGGATAATCGTGTTCAATTTAATGCGAACTTATGGCCCACCTGTTGAAGTTTTAAAAGGAATAACACTACCTCTTATTTCTTTGTCTTGAGTTTTGGACAGAGATATCAAAATATGAGAAAACAGTGGCCGGGATACAAGGTCTTCCAAAGCCAGAGCTGAACTGGCCAACTGTGGACTTGGTCTGTTGAGCACATAGGCTTCTTGATCCATCTGCCCTGAAATGACTTACCCTGTCAGAGAGTGGCAGAGCTAGGATGGTGCAAAACCTGCCTTACCCCCAAAGCACTGTCAGGGACTTCTGGGGTAACAAGAAATGCATCTCCAATGGAAAACACACCTTGGAGAAGGATAAATCGGGTGGTGAGTCTCACTTCATACCCCATTACTCCTGGATAAATTGGCGTTCTTGGAATAGGAGCAGACAGGTTGAGAGGCAGGATGGATTTATTCTCTCTTGTGTCTAAGTGAACCAAGACTTTTTCTGCCTTAACTGAAGCAACAACACTGTCATTTATTCAGACTTAACATGCACCAGGCATCACACTGGAGATTTTATCTCTGTGATGTTATTTCAGAATTTCAACACCATGATGAGGTAGACACATTCATTCCCATTTTGTACACCAGGAAATTAATTGTCAGAGGGATTAAACTACTTGCTTGAGACCAAGATGCTATTAACTAGAGCTTTCAGATTCCAATCATGTGTATGTGAGTCTCAGTTTTGTTTTGCAATAGCATTCCCTTGCCATTTTCCAGAATCTGTACTGTTTTGGAGTGCAGGGAGTTGGAGAAACATTTCAGTTAGGTCTAGGTGTTAGCATGCTTTTCCTTTAATGGTCCAAAAGAAACATTTCAATGTTAGAGGGCAGTATGTCCACCAGTACAATTACTCAACTCCACCATGTCAGTGTAAAAGAAGCCAAGGGTAATATACAAGTGAATAAGATTATTTTCAGATCGAGCTTTGCTAGAAATAAAAATTTGAGTTTGTGTCACTTTTCACAAAATTATCATTCTCTTCAATGTTTTAAAATGTACAATCCATTCTTAATGTGTAGATCTCACTAAATCAGGCAGCAGAGCTAAGTTTGGCCCTGGGTTTCAGGTTTTTCTTTTCTTTGTTTGTTTTTTGTTTGCTTGCTTATTGTGTTTTTTAGATTTTATTTATTTTTATTGGAAAGACAGATTTACAGAGAAGAGGCAAGACTGCAACAGCTGAAACTGACCTAAGGTCTGGAGCCAGGAGCTTCTTCTGGGTCTCTCATGTGGGTGCAGGGTCTCAAGGCTTTGGGCCATCCTCTACTGCTTTCTCAGGTCACAAGCAAGGAGCTGGATAGGAAGTGGAGGAGCTGGGCCATGAACCAGCACTCGTATGGGATTCCAGGTCTGTAGCAAGGCAAGGATTTAACCACTGAGCCATCATGCTGCCACCCTTCCCGATTTTTCAATCTCAGCTCTAATCAGTGAGAGACACCAGTGAACATGCCAGCTTCACAGACATTTTAGAAAAGGGTGTGAACAAAGGCTCTGCCAGGGCAGAGGCAGCAGTCATTTTATTTGGGAGGTGATTGAGAGGAGTTCCTGAAAGAAACAGCAGCTGAGTCTTGCTTTCACAACTCGTTCATTTCCCAAAACAAGCAGTCATCTACCATTTTCTTTAAAATATTGAATGAGAGGTGGGGAAAGAAATCAATATAGAGTAATAAGAAAAGCTAATGGGGATTTGGGACTGTGTTGCCACAAACTAATTAAAATGATTTGTAAGTGCCCAACAAGGCTCTTCTGTTCTCCCATGTTTATTGAGTAATAGTTCCCATTGGCCCTTCTTGCTTATCCAACCCATGGGAAATTGCCTCATGAGAATTCTATTCAAAGAATTTTTAAAAAGGCTTGCGTCAGTTTCCCAGCACCTTCTTTCTGTGTTTTTCCAAGACTCTTTTCCGATTAGAGGGCCCTGGTTAGAGAGGTACTAGAACTGGTTCCCTGGAGGTGATTGTAGGATCATTAAGGCACATACCGCCAATTGTGGCATTCCTGTTGACTTTTGAAAGCTATCTTGGTCTTCCTGAAGCTGTGAGTAGGCTTAACATACAGAGCATCAATCTGAAGAAGCACCATTGAGGCAGGGTTTGTCTGCATGTAGGGAACTCTTTGGACTATAGGGCTGGAGATGTTCCAGTTCATTGTTAGAATCTCCAAAACAGGGAGAACTAATATTTGGGCTGTTTTATATGTCCTCTGGAAGAATTCTTTTCTTTTAGACATTGGTGGATACCCATGTCCTGCTTCTGTCTGGACCCTGAACCAAATTTCTCCTTAATCTTTCCAGCCAGAAGATACTATTTGAGAATTAATGAAAGGAAATTCAAGAAGTATGGCACTATCCTAGAAACAGCAGATAGAAAATGCTTCTGGTTTTGAGGTATCTCTGTTGCAACTATTTAACCCTGTAGTTCCAGCAGGAAAGCAAATAGACATGCAAAAGAGTGATCATGATCAAACTTTATGACAACAGGTTACAGGCTATAATAGGTTGCAGGCTACGTTAATCCATGACCTATGGTTTGGTGATGCCTACTCCTGGACATCTTTATCTTGGCTAGTGTCTGATTCAAGTCAAGGTATTGTGAAGTGATACACTTTGCATATAGATTGTTCACCAGTAGAGAAGTTAATTTCAAAGATTACAGCACGATTGCCCTGTGTAAAATTACCAATTTTATCTCAAAAAAATCTTATTTTAACACATTTATAAAATACCTATAAATGCCTAATTCCTTAAGTGTGCTTAGAACCACTCTTGCAATTTCACAAAGTCTCTCAAATGAGTTGAATAGGTATTTGACATATGTTCATTCTGCATTTGTGAATAATGTTGAGCTTTTACAAATTACCCTTTGGCAAGCTCCTTATTAGAACACGTCTTGTAGGTCTGTAGAATGGTAACAGGTGTCACTGAGCGATATGCCAGAGATCACGTTCAGAACTTACCAATTTGTAATGCATTTATATTTATGAACATGCCTACATAATAGGAATTATCCCCATTTCCCACTAAAACAGGGTCATGGAAAAGCTTAATAATTGTTAAACTATGAAGTTCACATTTAAACCATGATTTTCCTCGCTTTACATCCTCACAACCAAGCCTATTTTGTTGTGGGATAAACATCATTGAATTAAAGTTATTGTACAACAGAGTTGTATTTAAGTCTTAATTTCTGATTTTCATCAAATTTCTCATACTTAAAGTGGTTACAAAGGATTTACACTCAAGACTTACACTACTTTATGATCATGAGTTTATTTTTTGGTACCTTGATAGGTGTAAAGGTATTTGTATCCTCCCCTTCCAGCCATGTACATATACTTATATCATGTTTATAATTTTCAGGTGACTTGAAAGATGGTAAAAATAAGACAGAGAAGCAGGATCACTCCAACGCTGGAAATGAATCAAAGAAAACAGATGGTAAGAGTGCTGGTCTTATTACATTATATGGAAAAATATACAATTAACACAAGCTTGTTATAATCATACCTGAAGTCGAAATATAATTGTTAAGATACTCATTCCCAAAACAATTGATAAAGAGTACTATCTTCTTCAATAATTTATGATACTTTGTCCATTATAAGTGCTTTTTAATGCCACTTTTTCTACTCGTCAGTTTTTCCATCTTAAATGTCATTGAAAAGTTAATGTTGGATCTGCTGACTGTATTGGAATGGTATTAACAGCACGTGCTGATTTTGTTCATTGTGGAGCATTAACAGAAAACCTTTTATGTTTTATGCTTCCTTAAACCTTGAATGAATTGCTTTTGGTTAAAAAAGAATCTCTTGGGAGGTACCATGTTTAGTGGTAGACCAGTTTGTCCAGCAATAACAAATCTGAAGGACAATGATGAGCCAATCCCACGTTTACTACAATGGATCTACACTATAGAGTACTTCATGAGATTGTTCTGTTTTATGTAAATATTCTGTTCTTCTAGGACCCAGAAGTTCATTACCTTAATTGAAAAGCCAGTCTTCATTATTTACATAAGCCAGGTTTTCAGATATAATATGAACTCATTGCTATTTATTCTCCCATACATGGACAAGCAATGAAAATTTCAAGGGAGTTTTGAGTTGTAAGAGTCCAGTCTCAGGGGATGTTTAATTTTATGCTAAGGTATTTACATGATTTGATTACAATACTTTTGAAGAACAAATGCCAGATTGTCATCACATTGAATAGGAAGAATTTAAACACATCTGTCAAAAAGGAAGCAAGCCCTTGTGGTTTTTATATCTTTATTTACATGTATTAAATCAGTTCTTAAAATTTTTAAGGTTCATTCAAGTAATTCACTTCAGGTGTGCTGTACTTGGGACCATAAACCTGCAGTTTTTCATGAAGTTGCTTCTGTAAATGCAAATCACTTTCTCTTATTAATAAGAAACCCCTAATTGTAACTTAGTTCTTAGTTTTTCATAGATAAAATAGAATTCCTAATGACAACCCCTCAACTAGACAATTACAGGTTGTTGAAATACTAGTAGAGGATTTTTTGCCAGGAAATAATGGACCCACATCAAAGCAACCAAAGCCAGGAAGTGCATGGTGAGTAAAAAGCATCAGCTAGAAACCCAGTACGTTAAGACCTGCCCATTCGGCATTCAAAAACTGGCCACTGTCCCACAATTTCCACAGCATAAAAGCTCCGAGTAAAACAAGATTCAGGTTTTTACTACGACATCTTGAATCTTGTTTCTTTTCAATGTTGTATTACAAATAACTATAATGTTATCAGAAGAGCATGGTTGATAGAATTTTAAGATCTTGGGGATTTACCTGTTCTTTTTGACATGCATTTTTCCTATTAATTGAACACAATTTGGGGTGGAATGATATAGTAGATTCTATTGTGTATTCTTTAGTATTCTATTATGTAAATAAGTAATGCTTGAACAGGATCCCAATCTTTGGAGAGTATTGAGCAGGTTGTGAAAAATGGAATAGAGACATTGCCTGCTATCTATCCCCTTTCCCTTCATAATCCTAATCTTGTCTCGTGGTGCTGGTGTGGTCATATCTTTTTGTACAGACTTATGGCAACTTTTTATGGTAATGTCACTAATGAATTAATGTGGTATCCATAGTCTGAAATTTAATATAAACCTTAGAGCACTGAGCTTCAATGATTGGCACCCTTCAGTCTAAAACCTTTACCAAGACCAAAGTTAATTATTGGGAGTGTGAAGTAGAAAGAGTTAAATCTCATTTATACATTCTCTTTTGGTCATTAAAGCTCTCTATTAGGGAAAAATTATAAAGAGGTTATGTGTACCAATACATTTTCTGATTTTTTTTTATACTAGAAATAACGAGATGATATCTTGAACAGTTTTTTTTTTTCCTTTGGAGGCAGAGTCAGTTTAATTATTTTTAATTACCCTACAATCAATCCAACTCCAGAAGTGACCAATGTTTAGTTTTTGAGAAAGAATTTCCAGGTACAATACACACCCCATGTACTCCAACCCACCATGGTTCATAGTTGTAGCATTGTAAACATTCAAACAGAAACCTAATTGCAACTGGAACATACTTGATTATTCCTAAACTCCCATGAGCCTGTCCCTGCACAGAGGGAAAAGGGGAGTGCTTGAACTGGTCAATTACGTCTTGGCATAATGAGTACATTGCAGTTATACATTATCTCTGTGAGCCTATTGAAGTACTGTGTAGCACCCTGCAGCACTAATTTTCTTACTGACTTCAAAGAATGAATGTCTTTGGAGAGTACCTTGTTTATTCCTAGGAAGAAATGTACTAACATCAAAAGTCTGTCTCTGAGCCAAGATTTCTCTCGCCATTTAGAATTTCCTGTCATAGGGAGGGAAACTTTTGGGGTAGATAGACGAATTCTTTGTTGCAGTTCCACCATGTTATGCAGTAGAGCTTCTTGTGCCTATCAAATGTAGAATTCCTCAGCAATATCAGCTCTGCCTTATTTGATCGCCTAACAGATATAAGAGCTAGCCACTTTATTTCTCAGAAGATTGACTATTATTAGGTATTGTAGCATTATTAGCCAAGACCCAGGAAGGGAATTCAGCTGGATTTTCTTCTTCATTGAATATTCTTGGAGTGAAAAGCTTATGGATATTGGTTTGTGAAATTTCAAGATCATTTGTGAGTGGTGGAAAGGGTAGACAAAAATGCAATATGATCTTTGCCACTGTATTTCTAACACAGAAGCATGAACTCAGTTCCACCTGAACCCAAAAGATACCCAACAAAAATGTATGACTGGCTTAAGAAACTATACATGAGTCAATGAAAGATGATAAACTTAGAGATGGGAAAGGGGATCTGGGGGTTTTAACTGCCAACCTAAGTAAAGAGCCCAGAATTCAGCATGAGTCTCTCACCTGGATAGGGATCCACGTAACTTGAGCTATCACATGGTATCTCTTAGGGTACACATCAGCAAAAGTTGGATCAATAGTAGAGGGCCCAGGACTCAGACCTGGCACTGCAACATATGACATGTGAAACTCCCAGGTGACACCTTTACTGCTGCACAGAACACACACCCCATCAACCCTTTTCAGAGAGTGGACAGGATGTGGATAGTCTATACCACGTTGGACTTCATCTTTGAGATGCTGCTCTTAACACACATTATCCATTGATAAGCTGAATTTTGGGGGGACATGATCCCCATAAACTTCTCATAGTCCACCTGTGGTTTCGCCATTCTTCTACTCCAACATCAGAAATTTGATGTTTCTTCTTGCTTCATTTTTAGCAAAACTCATGTTACTTTGATAAGGATTTTTTAAAACTGGTATGTTTGAGTTTGTCATGAGCTTCTAAGTTATCTTTGAGAACGAAATCATTGTATCATTTAATTCATTAGTTGAAATGTATTGAGTTTTAGTATAAGCAGAAGTAATGTTTGTGAGTACAATAGCATAAAATCAAGTAGAAATGTAAGTATACTTGATAGTTATGCTATTCATGAAAATACTGTGCCATCATTTGAAGGTAAATTGAGATAACAGCATATTTTCGGAACACTAGAGCAATAACTAAAGATATAGCTAGTTAGCCAGGAGGTAAAAAATGAGTTTTAATCCAAACTTAGAAAAAAAGTAGTGATAGCACATAAGACAAACAGGAAGATTATAAAGCTAATCTTATTGCTAAATTAAATATATCCTAAATACTCCATTAAAAAGAAGATATTGTCAGAATATATGTATATAGTACCTTCAGAAACTGAGAACTGACAAAATAAACATTAATAAGCCATCATAACACTAGCCAAAAGAGAGTTTTAAAAATTACTCAGATTTCAGAGCCACGGTGGTGATAGTTTGTGATAAAAAGGTCATTTCTTAATGATAAAGTTGTTTGTTTGTCAGAAGGCTTTAGTTTAAGTTTATGCATCAAAACAAGTTAACTGGGCAAGACACAGTAGCTTAGTAGCTGAGATCCTCGCCTTGCATGCACAGGGATCCCATATTGACCCGAGTTCATGGTATGGCTGCTCCACTTCCCTTCCAGCTTCCTGCTTGTGGCCTGGGAGGGCAGTTGAAGACAGCCCAAAGTCTTGGGACCCTGTGCCTGTGTCCAAAAGGAGGCTCCTGGCTCCTGGCTTCAAATCAGCTTGGTCCAGGTTGTTGCGGCCACTTGGGGAGCATACCAGCAGATGGAAGATATTACAGCTCTTTTAATAGATTTACCAAGATACTGATAAGAGGGAAACACACAACAGGAGCAAGACCTTAGGTCTTCATTGCATTTATGGATCTTAATGAGAAACGAAAGTTGCCTAACATCTGGGGAATCACCCAAGCTTTCTCTGTGGGAAAGCTGGCAGAGAAAGATCAGTGGGATCCTGTGCAAATGCAGAGGCATACTCTGCTCTACAGACCCATAGAGGATGCAAACAGCAGGATGCAGGTAGAACTAGGACACCTGAGGGTCTTCTCCAAAGATGTTCTTGGGTTCATGTTAAGACTTGAGACAGTGAATGTGCTGGCACATCACGTTACTCAGGATGTACTGGTCATTGGTTATACAGACACTGACTGGAACTGTTGTCCGTTTTCATAGCAGCATAAATGCTTGTATCACAGGGGCCTGATCTTGAAATCATACTTGCCTTGCAAATGTTTTTCTTCATATCACTTAGGACAGTAGCCTTAGGGTCACTTTATATACCACAAAAGAAGAACTGCCCTAGGTCAGACTCCAAAACTCTTCCTTGTGGTTGGTGTCTATTACCATGTGTTCCAATCTGTTTCTACCCATGGGCATTCCTGCAGTCACCTGTAATTGATGCTGGCTTGTACCTTGTTCCGTGCAGGGCCACAGCAACACTTGAACATGTTATCCTTCTTAAACCACACTCGCTTGAATTAGTACTCTTTGCATATGGGATTTTACATTTGGTTAATCCATCTCCC